GTCACTGTTGCTGTGTTGGGCTGGACGGACAGATTTCTTAAACAAATAGAAAAGTTTTGGCAGAATTGTCAAACTTGTTGAGAAATCAGCCTAACAATGGCATATTTAAAATTGTCACTAGGGAAAAATATGTTACCATTTAAAAAGTGACACACTTGACCTTTAATGTGCATGTTAAACATCTTATTCTTATTTATGTGTGCATGTTAAACTTTCTTATTCTTATTAATTACACAGTTATTCATTTATATGCAAGTGTTACTTTAAAGCAGCGATTCACAACCTTTTTGACTACAAGGCCCACTGTTTACAACAATATTGAAAGATTAAAATAAGAAATTCCAGTATTTATAATTAAAATGAACTCAAATGTTAGAATTCTAGATGTTTGGAGATGAACAAAAAATATATATATTTTTTTTAGATTATTAGTTGTTTTGTTTTATTTTACATCATTTATTTTAAATCAAGTCATCTTGAGGCCCCCTTGGAAGTTTGGGGAAAAAAACCTTAATGGGCATCACTGTATGATGGCCCCTGGTTGAGAGACACTTCAAAGTGCATAATAATCATATTTTTTTCTTCTAAAAGCCTTTGAAAAGTTGAATTTGTTTCTGAATTTGTTTAGTAGTACTTTTTCCCCTCAACATTCTTTTCTATGTGTCTTGAACAGGTGTATTCAGGTGGAAGATTAAGGAGGAAGACCAGTGTAATGAGGTGGGGTGTATCAGGAAGCTACAAACCTCATTCCACAGAGTCAAGGAAGCACAAACCATTAGACAACACTGTCTTTCAGAAACCAGACAATACCCTTTTCATCAATGAACAACGTGTGTGTGCTGTGTGTGTGCACATATTTGCTGACAGTCGGGCACACCTCTGCAGGTAAATTGCATTTTGTTTTTTTTATTTTGCCATCCCGTTGGCAGCTGCTGTTATTCAGGTGTCTGTCCGTTATTGCAACATTTGGTACTATTCAGATGAAAAACATTACACAAAAAAATCCTTCTATATTGGCAGGTGATACTTGTTTATTTTCTTAATACTTGCACTCTTATGAGATTTCCTTCAGTCAACAAACTGACACTGTTGTGGTTCTCAAGTGCCTCTGCAAATGCAAGCAAAAGTCCAGGTTATATCTTTATGAGAACTTGTGGACTCCACAGATGGTCTACATTTACTCAGAATAACGTCTTCAACACTCTGAGGACAGTCCACAGTGCATTCTTGCCCTTGAGATTCATTCAATGTAAAGTCTTTGCACATTTGTATAAAAGCCACAACACATGCAGACACAAAGGAGTGAATTAGTTCTAATCATAAAGTTGTCATCAGCGGATTTGGAATGTTCTGGGTTGCCGTGGGCAATAAGTGTGAACCTTCACTCAATTAGACAGATTACATTCCATCTGTGGCTAACAGATTATCTAAACAAATTCTGCAGGTGAAATAATTTAATTAAACACACACACACATTTACTTAGCTATCTAAATAGGGAGATACAATAGACTTCTATTGTTTTAATATTTAGCTCATTTTCACATTTAGCTCACTTTTAATTCAATTTTGCCCCCAAACTATAGCTAAATATGCATATACACACATTTTGTAAATTTATATTAAACCAAGTTAATTATAATTACTTGACTACCCCTACCCCTTGAAGGATTTACTTTGAATTTATTTATTTATTTGTGTTTGTTTATTTATTTTACTTTTCCCAATGAGAAAATCTTTAAATATAAAATAATTGACATTTTGCCAAATTTAGCTCCTTTTTATAGCTTTCATTTTTACTTTTGTGTGTGTGTGTGTGTGTGTGTGTGTTCCAGTTGAGGACATTCTTGAATGGTTGAATGTTTAGCCTATTTTTTTTTGGTGACAAATTTGTCCAGAAACTAGCTAACTATATACACAGAGACTTTCTCTCAAGAAATATTGGTTCACAAGGTGCACTAGCATCAGCCCCAACCCAGAGTTTAGGGATTCAGTCAGGTCACTGTATATTGAAACCCCAGGTGTGAGATTTCACACAAGCACAAACATTCAACAACAACACTTGAAGATTTTATGTATCACCCTATGCCTACGTTAAAGTCAATACATTGCCTGTTTGCCGCTGTCCAGCCCCAGTCTACCCCATATCACATGTATTGTGCTTTCTTCCATCTTTAGCCCACTATCTGCCCCCATGCTAACACATAAGCCACTATCTGCCCCGGGCTGAGTGTTTCTGTAAAACTATTATTGGCGAGGGGCTGTTTCATTTTGATGTGGGTAATTTAACAAGAGTCCCATAAACGTCTGCATTTTTCTTTCAGAGTGCTGTAGTTTTGTCTCTCATTTCTTTAACAAGCTGGAAAACACTTCAAGAGGAATCAGACTCCAACACATGCAAACCAGCTGCAACAGCTCAACACAAATGATCAACAACAGGATTTGAGCGTGTTGGACCCTTTACTGAACAGAATAAAGATTTTCTGTTTAAAAAAAATAATCCTTTCTATTGATTTGGAAATTGGATAAATATTTGCTCAATTAAATGCAATTTGGGCAAGTTAGTGCAACTGATATGTGTGTAATTATTGTAATCTGAGAATGTTCCTGTAATTATGCAATTCATTTGATGCCAGTTTTGGAACAGGCAGAGAATATTCTGTGAACACTGCTCTTGCACCTCTAATGAAAATGAATGCTGCTTTATTCCCATCAAAGTATTTGCCTGCATGAGGTTTTAATGAATAATCAATAGATTGACAGTGTCTTGGGAATGAACTTCAAAATGACAATCCAAAAATTTTAATTCTATGCTATTTACTCATGTCCTGCCAAACTGTGAGCATAAAACCCATTGGAAATAGAAGCTTTCAGGCTTCAAAAAGCCATATGCTTTGTTACCCAAATCATTTTTAATTTAACATAATACATTTTTCCTTTCCAGTGAGCTGCTAAATTCAAGTGTTTTGATCTTCTGATGTTTAATCAAAAAGACATACAGTAACTGGACCTTTCAGCTTAAACTTTGCCCCTTCAAGCTCATTTGCCTCCATTTCTGAGTGCAACGCCCAAATCCAATCAACAATCGATGCCTATAGAACCAAGTCCATTCCAACATTTTTTCTTTTCTGATAATACGTTACCACTCGAAAATACATCACAATATGAAAGAAAAGATCTGTTGCTCCTTGCATTTCATGATGGCTTTAACTACTGCAACATTGATATGAATCCAAATCAAGAATCTTATGCAGACTGAAAACAGAGTAGCCTACTACAAGATTCAAATTTTGCTACAGCTAACCATTGTTCAACACACATCACATTACATGAGGTATATTTAGGAAACATTTAGTTTAAAATAAAAATGCAGGAAAATCAGTCCTGTCGAGTGAATGAATTTGCCTCCTTTGGACACAGACACACACACACACAAAGCTTTATCATAAGAGGTGGGCATGAGACCCTTGGCCTGCAGTGGTCTCTTTGGGATGGCGTTTTTCGGTGGTGTTCACGGACACTCACCTCGCCTTCATTCTGGCTCCCAAACGTGTTTTTCTAACCTTTGGTGTGTTTATGACTCACCCCTGAGCCGAGATGTGTGTGGTTCATTTGTTTCACTCCCCTTGTTTTCACTGGCCTCCAGCCCTGCTGTTATTCACAGGCACCCTAATCACCAGCGGGGAATATGCTTTATAATCACAGACCACATGTTCTCAGAGGCTGGGGGAAGGAGGGTCTCTTGGGCAGAATTAAATAAATAAATATATAAATAACTTTTTTTTTAAATGCCTCCGTATGTGGTATCCACACATCTGTTTTCATTTAATGTTATGGAACCATTTTCAATGATCAAATCAATTACATACATTCTTACACATTCCTCGGCCAAGATATTTTCGGCTGCAGTCGAGTTAACACACATCAAACATCAGTTCTGCTCTGATTCTGATGAACACCCGATACGTCAGCTGCACCTGAATGGATGGTGAGATCCATTCCTCTACGCCTGCAGTGTTTGTAATTAGTTAAAGCTGTGTAACGCACAGCCAGAGGAAAAGTCTGATTCTTTGACTTTTAGGGGAATGATAGAGCATTTTAAAGACACTAATCATATTGTGGCAGAACATATACTAATGTAACAGTGAGAAAATCTCAAAATGAGGTGGAAGATAAACCAATGGCATGATTCTTTTGCTTTGACAGCTGCTAAAATATCGTCAAATCAGACCCACTGAGTGCTTCTCCTAATTCCTGTGTTCAATAATCTGATCTGTGTTTGTGGAAGCAGTTATGCTTTAGAAATGACAAAACCTATTAGTAAAATGAAGTCTGAAATCTGTGGCCCCTTTCTTCAAATATTGCTGTTGAGACAAAATGCAATGCCATCAAGTTAGCATTAAAGTTGATCAAATGTGACAGCAAAGACCATTATAATGTTACCAAATAGTTTTATTGTAAATAAATGCTGTTCTTTTGAAATTTCTATTTAAAAAAAAAATTGTATCACATTCTCCACAAGAATACAAATTCAGTTTTATTTTTATTTTTTAAATACAATTAATTACACTGACTCTAAACGTTTGAAGGTAGTTTAAGTATACAGATACTGTTGTTCATCTTTCACTCAGGTGTGCAGTAAAACTATTCCAAAGGTGGGCTCGATCTGTCAGGTACTGGTGCAGTTGCCACATGTATTCCAGATGTTTCACTCTGACAGCTTCATGGACCAGGATGCCAGGTAACAGATGCCTGCTGTTTTTCATTCTGAACACTAGAGATCAGCAGCGTTCAGTCTGCACAGAGGAACCTCTGAGAGAAAATATAGTTATGACTATGAAATAATTTGAGTAACTGATTTCAGACTGTTATTTTACTGAAACTCATATTGGAAAGTGAGCAAGATGCTGCCATTATTTGTGGGCTGAAAGCAATGAATATCATTCATACTGAATTTCATTAATTACACTGACTCTAAACGTTTGAAGGTAGTTTAAGTATACAGATACTGTTGTTCATCTTTCACTCAGGTGTGCAGTAAAACTATTCCAAAGGTGGGCTCAATCTGTCAGGTACTGGTGCAGTTGCCACATGTATTCCAGATGTTTCACTCTGACAGCTTCATGGACCAGGATGCCAGGTAACAGATGCCTGCTGTTTTTCATTCTGAACACTAGAGATCAGCAGCGTTCAGTCTGCACAGAGGAACCGCTGAGAGAAAATATAGTTATGACTATGAAATAATTTGAGTAACTGATTTCAGACTGTTATTTTACTGAAACTCATATTGGAAAGTGAGCAAGATGCTGCCATTATTTGTGGGCTGAAAGCAATGAATATCATTCATACTGAATTTCCATGACTACTGCATTTACAAAATGTGATATTTTGAAAGAACTGTATTCAGATGACAGCATATGGTCAACCTATAATGTTTAATAATTATTTGCAAGTATTTAAACAGTATTATCCTTTAGGTTCCAGTTCTTTGTGGAAAAGATCCTGCCCCAGTACAGAGACTCTGTCATGTCCCACACTTTCATCTATGTGCCATCGTATTTTGATTTTGTTCGTCTGCGGAACTACCTGAAGAAGGAAGATGTCAGTTTCGCTAGTGTCAGCGAGTACTCACAGAGATCAGAGGTGTCTCGAGCACGACATTACTTCCAGAAAGGAGAAAAACAGTTTATGCTTTTCTCTGAGAGATTCCACTTCTACAAGAGGTATGGGTTCTATAAGCGTATTATCATTTGCATATTTCATATACACTACTGTTCAAAAGTTTGTGTTAGATTGTTTTTAAGGAATTAATGCTTTTGTTCAGCAAGGATGCATTAAATTGATCAGAAGTAACAGTAAAGACATTTATAACAAAAAATAATACTGAAGGATCGTGTGACACTGAAGACAGGAGTAATGGCTGCTGAAAATTCAGCTCTGCCTTCACAGGAATAAATTAAATTAAGTACAATTAAAAGTATATTAAAACAGAAAACTTATTTTAAATTAAAATAATATTTCAAAATATTAGTTTTTACTAAATTTTTTATCAAATAAGTGCAGCCTTGGTGAGCAGAAGAGACTTTTTTCAAAAGCATCAAATAAATCTTACTGACCCCAAGGTTTTCAACTACTATGTAACTCATTAAAAAATTATGCAGGCCAATATAAAAAAAAAAAAAACCGTTTTTATTATATTCCATTTTTTTTCAGTTTATTTTTAATTTTAATTTTTACATGTTATTAATTCTCTTTTCTCTTAGATACACTATCAAGGGCATCCATAACCTGATATTCTACGGGTTGCCTACATATGCTCACTTCTACAGTGAAGTGTGTAATATGCTTCAGGCTGGTGTCAGAGAGGGTGGTGCTTCTGTCAGCTTCACCTGCACAGCCCTGTACTCCCGATATGACATGCATCGTCTGACTGCTATCACTGGGGTCGACCGTGCCGCTCAGATGCTCCAGTCTAAAAAAACAGTGCACCTTTTCATCACAGGGGAGGAGAAAAACACATGAACGGGTACTGTGAAAAGCACATGTGACATTTTCAACCTCTCAGACAAAGAAAGTAATCCGTGTTTATGATAATGGACACTTCTTCAGATATACAACTCAAGTCTTCTTCAAATAAAATTCAGTCATTTGACTAAATGTAATGTTCTTGTTCGCATGTCTTTTTGTTCTTTTTTTAATATAAAGTCTTCTTTCACTGAAGTCACATCCCATATCTTTGTCTCCAATGTGTTTTTTTTTTTATAATTACTTTCAAAAGGTTTACAGAGCTCAACAATAAGGATGAGAAATTCTGACCAGCTGAAGTGTCACCTGTCTTGTCAGAAAAGTGTTACAATGTCACTATATCTTACATTGATTGTAACATCCATTAACTAAACTTTTCGTTTATTGAATGTTGTTGTAAATTGTGTTGAGCAACTAATGCTGATATGTGCTCTTCAAAAGAATTTAGGATTAAATCTCCTTTAAAGTTAATGCTAAATTATGGGAAAAATTTAAATAGTTAAAACCGTTAAATACCAAATATCACCAAAGAAAAAAGCTAGTGTTGACGGATATGTTGCCAACAAATTAAGCAGCAATATTACATTATAAAGTATTTAATAAGGTTTCAAACTGTATGCAATACCATTTTTATGAATTTATAGCTGTTGTGGAGTTACATTAAAACTTTAAAAAAAGGTTTGATGTAAAATCTGAACAAAGGTTTGGGGTCAGTAAGTTACTGATACTAGCTGCTGGTTATTATAAATTGTAGTAATATTTCACAATATTACTGTATTTTTGATCAAACAAATGCTTTACTTTAAAATTTAACACTATTGTCATTTTTTTTGTTAATTATGAAAACAAATATTTATTGTAGTTGTGGGGCCACTAAAATAAAAATCTGAACTACTGGTCAGCAGAAAAAATGAGCTGCCTTTACGGTTCAGTGTAGTAAACACACAGTTGCAGTTAAGCTCATTTTGAAAGTGTTGTGCAAATTAGACGAATTTGAGTAATTTAGTAATCACTGCTTTTTATTGTGGCTTGTTAAATTACATGAGCAAGAGTTCACCTCTAATGATCATCACGCTGGAAACGACTGATTCATCTAATGACCTCCCAATGTGACAGTTCTGTATGAAGTGGAACATTTGACAATTTGGTTTTAAAGTCACATTGTCTCTCAAACTCACCGGTGATCAGATGCACTCTTGTTTTTTGCTTTCTTTTTTCTTTGCTCGGTCAGGTGGAAAATGGAGCAGATGTTTCACACACACGCACTCTCTCTTTCATAGATGTGCACTCTGTTTCTCTGTAGCTGGCACACGTATACACTCACATGTCATAAATAATGAAAGAAATGAGTGTGTGAGTTGTTTGGTTAAGGCCAGCATCTGACTATCAAACAAAACCATTGATCCATCCAACAAATCTCCTTCCAGTTTTTTTCCATGAACACACAATCCTGCTGTGCTGCCTTTTGAATCCTCTCTAAAACTTTATTGGGATTCATCTGCTGACCTCTGGGCACTCATACAGTGATGCCACAAAACGTTATTTCTGCTGAGCTTGCATATTAGTATCATCTGTATCATTTACTACACAAACTGAGGAACTGTACCTAAATAAATTCTCATATGCATTGTTGGATGGATGTGAGGAAGTGCTCTGTGCAGCTGTTTCATTGAGCGGTATTTTATGAAATATTAAACAGTAGAGCTGGTGTTTTTAGTGCTTTAGTTGAGGCAGTGTATTGCTGCAAACGTGCAAGAGACGATAATGTTTGTAAGTGTGACGTGTACGTGCCTACCTCTACATCTGAGCCCCATTTTCTGTATTACAGCGTTTTTGGGCTTATTCACAGATGTTTGAGGTTTTGTAAAAAATAATATAAAAATCAAAAATATTTTTTGCACAAGATCTTCATGTAATCACATCAGTAAAGCATCTTAATAATTGCATTCCTCTAGTCATGGTGCAGTGTCGATAGCATTTTTAATCTTAATGATAACTAAATATCATTAATATCATATATTTTGCGTCTGTAATTCCGATCAGGCTTGTTTGTGTGGGACCTGTGAAAACAGATGGACCTGACCAGAGAAGGTGACCTTTTTTCTCAATTACACACACATTTGTTCTCCATTTGTGTGAAACACCCCATCGCTCTCTTTCTCCTGTGAATCCATCCTCTCATGTGTTTATTGGAGTGTGGGTAGTCTGTTGCCTTGGACACCCCTCTGTGCTCCTATCACGAATCTAGTGTGTGTTTTGGGACTGAGAGCTCTTAAATGTGTTTGGAGCTCTACCCATCAGGTGGTAACAGGTATCAGGAGCACCTTTTCTTTTCACCTGTACTTGGATCGGGGCTTTTAATCACATGTTGCATTCTGCATTATACAACATTTCTCATTGGCCAAACGCCATTTGAAGAACACTGATAACAATGCAACATCGTCATATTTTTTTTCCCCACTTTTTGCATCACTAAGTTTCTCTGTGCTTGTATGTTCCAGGCCAGTGTTGTTATTAACTAGAACTATTAAAAGTTTTTTGTTAATTGAAATAAAGCTGAATTATATAACAGACGAAAAAACCTAAATAATTACTTAAATTAAATTAAAATTATAAAAATAAAGCTAAAAACTAATAAAAATGATAAAGACATATTACTAAACAAACTAAAATTAAAATGGATTCTGATAATAATAAATAAAAAGTAAATTCTAAATAATAAGTAGGCTACTATAATGGTATCTAAATAAAAGGAAAGTAACACTGTTCCAGACATATTTTCAGTCAGTACATTAGTTGTGGGTATTTCTAAGTGATGTTTTCTGCAGGTTTCATTGATACGCCAGTTGGTGGCAAATGTCTTGAAGTGAAGCGCTAATCGTTCACTCTTCCGATTCCTTCAAAAACAAAATTTGGAATAGCATAAATCCAGACTATTATTTAAATAACAAAATAATAACTATGTTTAAATAAATTCATACTATTACTACTATATTATTATTATTACTACTACTCTCAGTACTTTGTACTATTCCAAATTCAGCCTGAATTATTCTGGAACAAAACAAGTGATTGTCTTTATGAGTCACTGAATCACTCAACTGATTCATTCAAAAACACATTCTTTCAGGAACGCTGCTATACCGTGTTTTTCTAGGAAATGTGAGACAAATAATTCTGCCTTAACTATTTTCATTGGTGGAGCAAAAATACGCAAAGTAACTGGCAGTGTCTAAAATGCAAGTTGCTCAATATTAACTTCTTGTCAATGGAACTATTGTAAAATATATAATTTTGGTCTGAATATATGATGTTTGTGGTTTTTCTGTTATTAGCAGGTAAACGAAAGTTCCAACTAAGCTAACCAGCATTAATAATGTACTGTTTCTAGCGGTTTTGATGATTTGATAAGATCAGGTGGTGTTTACAGCTCCTGGATAAATTGATAGTCACTTAAGGTTTTCTCCGTTAGAAAGCCCTCCAAAGTGAAGCTATCTGGCTAGGGAGAAACTGACAGTTCTGTCTTCTGATAGGTTATCGTTTTCCCTGAAGAACTTGAGCAGCTCGTCTCACAGACAGAAACAGACAAGATTAGGAGGCATATCCTTTCCTGGTTTATACGTTTTTCTGTGCCCAAAATAAGCAAAGATCAGGTTTTTCTTACAGTCAAAACGTACATAGAAGGTTGGGAACATGCATGCAAGTTTATTTTAAGACAAGATGCTTAGCTGTTCACCTCATCTCTCTCAGAGAGAAGACCAAAGAGTTGTATTGATTTGTCTGAGGCCAGATCAATCTTCCTCTTCATCTCTTCCTGAAATTGAAAGGGTTAATGGATGTCTGAGTGTTTCTATGACAACACAGATGAGACTGATGAGTACAACCATTTGGAAGAAGCTCTCAATTCACAATCCAAAAATAACCACACACAAAGCAAACCTAAAGAGATGGCAAGGTAGGAAGAGGAGGTCAGTTATTGATAGAGAAAATTCTGCCCAGACATCCAAACCACCCCAGTCAGATAACCTCTCACACAGACTGCAACTCAAATGCTAGTTTCATACTAAAATAAACCATGATGGTTATCTGCATACAGCTTGGCATTTCCTTAATGTACAAAGAAGACAGGCGCATTAAAAGTTTCTCTCAAAATTTGAAATAATTACCAGCCTTGGACAGATACTGCCGGTTTCATTGACTATAAAACATTTGCCCTCAATTTTTATCATCAGATGGTAAATACAAAAAAGAAATAAATTGGACCTGTGTGTGGATTCTTATTCTTTTAAGTAATATAAAATATTACTTAAAAATAGCAACTAAAATGAACATAATGCCAGATGAAAATTCTAATTTCGAGCAATTTGTAACTATTTTTTACTTAACTATGCATTTTAGGGTTTACATTTTTGGGTTCATGCAGTATGTGCTATGTTCTTTCTTTCATGTGTTTTTTCGAGCATTTGTTCGAAGATACTCAAAATCATGAACAAGAAGTGATAGAGTCTAAAGTGCTTGTTTCCATTGATTTTGTGTGTTGGGATCATTGTCCGTTTTTGCAGTTAGCTGGTGGAGGGGTGTGTGCGTGTCCTTACATTTGCTCTGCCAATTATTACCAATCAAATAGAGAATAAATAGAGAGAGATGTGAGCAGTCAAAACCCATTATTTCAATTTACGCATGCAGAAAGAAAGAGGGATGAGAATTATTTAGTCATTCTGAATTGTCAGTGACATTTCTGTGATGTTATGGCTTTGGGAATTGAAGTACACATCATTAAACCTCAGTCCCCAGTGCCAGTTAACATTGAAAATGTTTTTGTTTCTATTTTTAGGCTGGTATTGAATGTGAAATGAAAAGAAAAGACTGATGGGGTCCATTGAGCAGATACAAAAGAGGATGGGAAATGATAGAGTAGATGGAGAGAGAGACTGATGGGAGACTGTTATTTCTAGCATGATGGCAAGTGCTTGTGTTTTTAACCAGAACAATGGGCGCATGGCAACAGCGGGTAACCATGGCGACTTTTAAGGTAGCCAGATGGGATTATGATAACATTGCCAATACTGTCAGACTCACATCTGATGTATTTCAGATACACTATGTTTTTCCTTTGACACTCTGAAAAGACAAAGCTGATTTCCCAAATGTGTTTCTCTCGCTCTCCCTTTCGTCGTTTTTCCTGTAAGTGCTCTGAATGGCTTCGGGTACTTACAGAAATCTAAT